GGTGGATCACAAAGTCAGGAGTTCGAGACCAGCCTGGCCAATATGGTGAAACCCCGTCTCTACTAAAAATACAAAAATTAGCCAGGCGTGGTGGTGGGCACCTGTAGTCCCAGATACTCGGGAGGCTGAGGCAGGAGAATCGCTTGAACCCAACAAGCGGAGGTTGCAGTGAGCCGAGATCGTGCCATTGCACTCCAGCCTGGGCAACAGAGCGAGACTCCATCTCAAAAAAAAAAAAAGCTCATCCCTCTGCCTCTGCTACCCATGTGTTTTCCTTTCCTCAAACTCTCCTCCAGCCTCATCCTTGGAAAGCCTTTGCTGATTAGACCCATGCAACTTGGGTCCTTCCATTACTTCGTGTATGTACTGGTGACGGTGTCTGGCTGTTCTGTGTGGCCGCCATGGTGTGCTCCCTGCTGTATGATGCCAACCGACCCACAGAACTGCCCGTGGAGCAGAAGGCCACAAAGCCCCCGTCACCAACTCAGCAGCCCCCTCCCTCATTTCCCGAGTGCTCCTCCTCCCACTCACCTTCCGCTGGCCCTGGTCACTGATGCGCTCCAACGAATCCTCCAGCTGTTTTTTCTCTCGTTCCAAATCTACCTGGGCTTGTCTGGCCACGGACACCTGTTTGGTCACCTCTGCATTCTGCAAAAGAAGAACAGTGTCTTGAACCAGGAGATCCCAGGCTTAGAGGACATCCTCCTTCTAGGACAATCACACTCAGGCTGTGCGCACCCTAGAGGCAGCCACAGGAATCACTTTCCTACCCAGAGGGAAGCCGGAAAAGAGCTATCACCTTCAGCTGCTTGACGCTCAAGTATTTACAGAATAATGAAGAAGGTGGGTGACCTACATGGGGCTGGCACCCAGGACAGAGCGCAAGACACAGAGGCAAGGAAGACTGAAAAGGTGTGATTCCCGAGATGGTGGCAATGCCTTAGAGATCAATGTAGGGGTTGCTGACCCCGGGGAAGCCACAGGCCTGAGCCACTCTCTCCCCCGAGGTGCAGGGCCTGCAGGATGGTGATAGGGGCTGAGGGTCCTACCTTCCGTAGCAGGTCAGCGTGGTTCTGAACCAGCTCGCTGTACTTCTCCTTCAGCTTGCTATATCGCTGTTCATTGGCTTGGGCTTTCCCTGTATTGTCAAGGACCAAAGTGAGGAGTCTACCCTAGGATGGACCCTTGCCTTCCTTGCAATGAGCCAGGGTCCCTAGAAGATCCTTCTTTTTTTTTTTTTTTTTTGAGACAATCTTGCTCAGTCACCCAGGCTGGAGTGCGGTGGCATGATCTCGGCTCACTGCAAGCTCCGCCTCCCGGGTTCACGCCATTCTCCTGCCTCAGCCTCC